CGCTGATAAATATTGAAGGGTCTGGCCAATTTTCATCGCTGAAGGTGCTGAACAACTCTGCTGTGGTGATCCGAGGCAACGTTGTGACGAGGCCGGTGAAGTACTTTTTGTTAGTAATCTTGGCGTTACGTGTGGAGTCTCGGTCAGCGGTTGTGTTTCAGGGCAACGACATGCAGAAAAGCTCGGCTGTATTTTTTTCAAGCTATTCTTCCTACATCTACTACAACTCCTGGCTGCAGCTGAGCGGCAACCTTTGCCGTGAATCCCCATCGGATGCCTTCCTATTTCTGAACCCCACGGTGAATCTCCGCGACTCCACGGTGTCTGTGTCCGGCAACCGATTCATGTCCAGCACGGGCACGCCGACAGTTCTGCGGATACCCAAAAGGTTCCGCGATCTCACAAACGGAGCGATTGTGGCCGCGTGCAACACTGTGAACGACGGGGAGGGAGTGAAATACAGCATACCGTCCGTGTACAATGCCACCATCCTGACCTGCAGCGACCCATGCGCCCTCGCGGCTTCGTGCTTCCCTGCGTACACGGCGACGGCCTCGAGAGATGGCTGCGCCTGCAGGTGTGCTGAGGGCGGCCGCGGCGATGCGTGCCTGCCCGTTGCTGTCCCCGAGCCGCCGAGCACTGACGGCGTTGATTTGTGCGTGCGGGACGTGCGTGTGGGTGTGGAGGTGAACGTCAGTTTCGGGACGTCGGTGGCGTGCTACGTTGGCGTGACCTTTGCGGCGGACGTCGTGGTGGACGTGGAGTCGATGTCAGGGAGCGTGCGCAACGTGAAACTGGCGAACTGCCTGTTTGTGGATGGAGCGAGCCTGTACGTTGTTGGGTGGCGGTCCGACCCGCCTGCTGGACAGCGCGCCGATGTGTTGATCAGCGGGCTTGAGTCGCGCTCCGGCGGCGGCGTGCTGGTGGCGAACCGATTTCCGCCGGGCTCGCGCGTCACTGTGGTGGACTCGGTACTGATTGCGGAGAAGCGTGTTGCGTACCGCGGAGACCACGGCCTTGGCGACGCCTCCGCGTGCCTCGTGGTGCACAGCGTGAATCTGACTGGGAGCGTGCTGACCATTGCGCGCACGCACGTGGCGGCTGTGTTCCGTGACGCTGTTGGCGTGTTGTTAGTTGGCGGCGTGGCGCTGTCGTCGCGCGGTGCGCTGTACGTGGAGGGACTGTCGGTGCAGACGGCGCTGGGGCTGTGCGTGTCGGTGGAGGGCGGTGTTGCGGCCAGTGGCGGCTCCGTGGTGGCGTTTGTTGACAGTGACTTCCTGCTGTGCAAGCACGCGGTGTCTGTGCGTGGGGCTGTGAGCGTGTCGGGCTCCGCTGTGGCGCTTGTGCGGAACGAATTTTTGTCGACGGAGGACTACGCGGTGGCGTTTTATTCGACGGTGAGCCTGGCCGACGGGTCGATGCTGCTGGCGAAGGGCAACGTGCACGACGGCGTCTCGAGGGAGATGCTCTACACCGCTGGCGCCGTGACCGCTGCTGGGAGCACGCTGAGCTTTGTGCGCAACCGAGCGCTGCTGCCGCGGATGCTGTCGGTGAGCCTGTCGCTCTCGGCTGGGGCGCATGTGAGGGTGGCGTGCAACGACGCTGGTGGCCGTGTCCTGTCGACGGCGGAGGAGTACGCAGCGGCTGGATTTGGCGACGCTGGGCGCATCGACGTTGTTGGGTGCGACGCCTGCGACAGGGACACACACTGCTACGCGCCCGGGACGGCGTCGGCGAGCATGAGGAACGGTGTGTGCGTGTGCGCGTGCGGCAGCGGCGGGTACGGTGAGGCGTGCGTGCCTGTGGGCGCTCCCGCGCTGCCGCCTGCTGTGGGCACTGCG